GTTATCACCAAACATTATTATCTAACCCTGAGATAGTGAAAACTGAAAACATTTTATTTTAAATTCGTTTTTGCTACTTGCATCTTTTTTTACAGAAGTCCTGCTTTATTGTAACTGAAGAGTAATATGTATGCTTCTAGAGAGATTCCTTGGGGAATGTTACTGCAGAAAATAAACTATAGTATTTGTTTTTTCTTTCTTACTTTCGTTTAACTTATAATAATCTCCTATAGCATGTGCATATGAATATTCCAATAACTTCAATTATTGGGTTTTTTTTTTTATCGTCCAATTGCTTTATTTCTAACAAAACCATTACATCATCTATTTTACTTGCTTAGCTAAATGATCAACATGATCATTAGCTTTACGTGAAATCCAAAGAAATATGAAGTTACAAAGCTTTGCTATCCGCATAATATCTTGAAACTGTATTATATAAAAGAGATGTTTCACTTGAGAAGTTTCAAGATTCAAACTTGACTGTTGCAATAATCTATAAAGTTGTTGCAAATCTCCACAGAAAATCACATCTCGATAGCCTAGCTTATACAACTCCACAACCGCCATTCTCAAAACTTCCACTTCTGCATGAGTAGGGGATTGCGTCGGTGGTAAAGATCCTGCACCACTAATCAGTTGCTTTAAATTACGGTCAAATAAACTTCATCCTATGCCCATATTATGACGCTGTGAGATCCAAGAAGCATCCACTAAACAGCAACAATGGTTAACCTGCTCCATAATCTTGCCTAAACTTCTTGGTATAACTTTAGGATGTTGCATAACCATATGTGATATGTTACTCTGGGATAAATCTTGCTGTTTTAACTCTAAAACTTCAAGTCACAATTTATAATCCTGAATAGCTCTATTGATTATCAGTGGAATAGGCCAACGCTTATTATTAAAAATTACCTCATTCCTTTGCTTCCAACTCTCCATCCCAAAAAATGAAACACCATAGATTGATCATGTGACCCCTGATTTGTTGCTATAAAAGCATCATAATTATCTGTTAGACCACTAGAAAGCCAAGAGTCACTGGTCGAAAGCATTATTGGGTTAATTCCAACGTTTTATAAATGGGATAATTGTAAAATTACCACTTTAGGTATGTCATTTTCAAAAATATATTACCAAAAAAATATTTAACCTTGTAAAATTATCACTTTTGGTGTACCATTTTTACAATTATCCCATTTTTGGTGTACACGCCCATATATGTATTACCAAGAAAATGAAATTAGACAGAATCATAGCGCTAGGGAACATTACTACATCTACTTTAACTACAAAATAATTGTAGATATATAAAGCGATAAAACTAAACAAAAATAAAGTAATCAGTCCAATGTCCATGGTGGAGAACAATTTGATTTTGTATAATTGTATTATACACATTTCTTCCTCATAATCCCTGTTTAGAGACATTATTGCAACTTCGAGACCAAACATTGCATTATTAATCCCGATCTTAAAATTTAATACTATAAAGGTTGAAAAAGTAAGAAACACAACAAAAGTCTTTGCTTAGGAACTTGTTCTTTTTTTTTGAAAAAAGTAGTACATATATGTCACAAAAGGGAACCCTACATGCACGAGTTAATGGGATTTTATAAAATATGAACAGAAATTAATCAGTTAAATTTACTCTCTAAAGGCTACAAAAGGTTAATTATGCAATTAAGACTTAAAAAAACTAATAGACAAATGTCAAAAGCTGTATAGTATAATATGAGTGAAGTATATAAAAAGCAACCTTAAGAATTAGGTCATTCGTGGACATTGTAAATTTTGATTATTGGTATATTTCGCAAATTTCCGTCTTGTAAAAGTTTAGTTAACGCACACTCTCACACGTCTACATGGATAAGCCATATAGAGATTAGAGACATAATCTTGTCAAAATAGCAATAATGATTATTGTAATCAGAAATTCGCTTGAAGCCTTGAAACACACATAAAAATGTAGAAAAATGGATCGCAAATGTGAAATGTCTCATAAAATATTGCATCTACACTGTCAACAATCTCATCCTCATCCATTGGATTAAATCCGAGTTTTTTTCATTTTTTTTTTTGATAAAATGTGAATTTTATATACTAAAAGCTGGAAATATTTCTTTACATATGTTCGGCGGAGCAGAATGTTTTAAAAAGGCCCAAAAAAAGAGAGTAAAAAAGCCTAAATGAGAACAAGAGAAAGATATGCGAACAAAACAAGTGAGCTAACTACTCATAGGTGAACCACTGCGAGAGGAGGTTTCGGAAGGGCTTCCGATGAATCCGGGCAAGTATGGAGACTTTGATGCTACG